TATCGACCAGCAGCCGCAGACATCCTCCTCCTGCTTCCTCTCCTTTATTCGCGTTTTGGATTGTCTTTATAGTTTGGTTACGTTGGCGAGTCGGGCAGCGGGTATTGATGAAGTCGCTAGCTCGCACTTGAAGCATGCCCTCCGCGGCGAACCAGAATCAGTCGCGAAACTGCTGGGTCAATCGTTCAAGCTCGCTGCCATAGTCTCCAAACAGCTCTTCGACGGACGAAAGACGACCGACTTGCAACATCTCCTCTACATCATACCGGCCGTGTTGGAGTTGTGGGAAATGAGATCTTCCCGCCGGGACGATTCGGACGCCGGGTCAAGTCATGAATCCTTTGCAAAGTATTGCTTCCAGAATGCACTCAGGCTTCAGGTCTGTGTACGCTCTATCAAACTTGATACGGACGAGAGGGTTCAGGTCTTACACGGTGTTGAGCGTTTGATTGCCCTCCATGTCGTCCTACCGGCTCGTACAGCGTTCTTCGATCGAGGTGGTGCGGGCATAGACTACTCAAGTGACGAGCCGGACTGGAGTTCCGTCAAACCGGTGTCCGAGACGTTCAAGCCTATTCTTTGTGCGACTGATTCTTCAAAGACCGTTAAGCAGGAGAAGAAGCTCTGGAAAACTGCTGAGCTGCTCCCTGAGTTCCTCGATATCGCTGCCCGCTCCGTTCCCAGAGACACCTTTCGCCGGCAGACACACGAGGCTCCCTGGTTGGAAACCCTCTTTGTTGCGGTTGCGGAGCTGGCATTCTCGATTGTCAAACAGGAGAGTTTGGGTCCATCGGCCGCCTACGTTTCCGAGTTTGTTATCATTCTGGAACAGCTCTTCCGTATTGTTCTAAACCGGAACGTGCAGCTCTCTCTACATACGCTTCTCACCCATGCCGCATACACGGGGCTACTCAAGGAGGGTCTGTCGGCAGTTGAATGGGGATTGACGGCCTTGTTAATCGAACTGGGAGCGGATATTTTCTTACCGAATTCTGGCCTTAAGGATTCAGCCAAGTTGCTGAGGGCTCTACTTGAGAAGATACTTCTTCATTGGCGCAGTGGCGTGCACCGCACAGACAGCAATTACGATACCATTAAGAACGGAATAGTGATCCCCTTGCTGCGCGCGTTCCTTTCTGCAAGAGATCTTCCGACTTTCATGCAACTATGGTACGAGCAGTTGATCGACGTCGAAGAGGCGCGCCTCGCGGATAGCAGCTTGAGCCTCTTCTCTATTTGGGAGGACGATGGTTTGTGTAATGTTTACAGCGATATCTTGCGGAGTCCCCTCACACACGCTACTGCTGATGCGCAGATGCGAGCAGCCGCAGTGGAAATAAGAGGCGAGGACGGGAAGATTTCCTCTGCACCCGGCCCTTTTGCTCAATTTGTCCTCTTAGAAGCTGGTCTCAGGAACCGAGCGCTCGGTGCTGCGGGCGCCAGAGAAGAGTTGAACTCTATTCTTGACACCCTGACGGCGACGCTGTCCTCAAAGCAGAGTTTCCACTGGCGTTGGCGTTTGTGGCGACTGGCCCGCAATTTACTCACAAATAATGTGCAATCAGCGGAAGATCCGCTCATGGTCGCGACTTTGAATCTAACCGATGCGGCGGTGGGTTCAATTCAGCGTAACCATAAAAGTCGAATGAAGAATACATGCGCTGCATTGGAATCGTTCGAAGCGTATCAATTCGCGCTGGCCGCTGTCAAGGAAACAACCGACACAGGTCGTTTGGAGAGTTTCCACATCCTAACCGGCGAGGTCAAGGACTATATCGGCACAATCACCAAGCAAGATGCTTTGGGATCCCTAACTTCGCCTTGGAACGGTCGGGTTGAAACACTGGATTCATCAGTGTCTCTTGCCTTGGGCTACTTCCTTACGCTCGTCAGAAGCCCTGATATTTGGCCTCAGCTGAAGACTGATGATAGGCGTGTTCTTTTCGAGCGCGTTCTGGGTCTAGCAGCGGCACAAATTCCATTGCCCTCTGCTAACTTGGAGACTCCTCCCTCGAATGCAAGATTTGTCCAGGCATGGGCCTCAGTCGATTGCCATGAATACCTACTCAACTCGCCGGCAATCGCAGTGGATCTCGTTCATGTACTTTCCAAGCAGCTGAAAGATGATAAAGAACACCGCAGGCTCTATATTGAAAGCCTTCAAAGAGTGCCTGGACCGTTGATCATGCGGCGCCAAAGAGGCGTGCTTCTGGACCTGCTTCAGAAAATTCTTGTCGAGGAGGATAGCATGGCGGAGATCAAGCTCGGACTCCTGTCTTTGATGGCCAAACTGGCAGATATGCCCAAGACCGCAGCGACTTTCACGAGCGATTGGGAGCCTATGTTCACCGCTGCCAAAGCTGTTACGTTGCAGGGGACTGAAAACGATGTACAGGTTATGAAAGCGTTCCGCAATCTACATCGAGCAGTGATATCCAAGCTGCTTGTTCTATCGGAGGAAGATCGTGATAAGCTGTTTAAAAAGATGTATCGCAAGGTTTCAGCCAAGGTCCTGAAGTTGAAATCCCTTGACCGCGACTCAATGGAGTGCTTCTTCTTCAGAACTTCACTATCGCAATTCTGGCTCCATCGGGAACAGCTTTCTGGCGCATTTGTTGAAAAGGAGCTCGACTCCTGCCGCCGGCATATGTTTGATTTGATTGTGGCTGAAGTTCGGTCTGTCAAGGATCAGTTGAAGAAGAAGAAGATTGAGGAAACCGTTACTTTGATCAAGATTCTTGATGCCCTGGAGGACTTTGAAGACCTGGTGGCGGATAGCACTGAGGTTGAGAAATTCCTGACAAAGATCGAGAGCTATGTGGAAAGGTCTATGGACTCGCGATCTTCGTTGAGAAGGCTCATAAGACGCCGTGTCTTTACTGGTCGGCGATCGGACAGAAGCATCACCGTTCCTGTTGTTCAATGCGCTGAAACTCTTTCCCTCCGGCATATGTTTGGCGAGGAGCAGCAACTCCTCATCCGAGCGACTACAGAGAAGTTCAAGTCTATGAGCGTGGATGAAGTGACCGCGGTGATTCAGGAATTACGGGAGCTTGGATTTGAGGGCGATCGTGCCGCTTATCGCCTACTTACTGCTGGTGTTGCAGTCGCTTCACTACCGTCTATCGAAGACAAGGAGACTTCTGCAGCAAAAGAGTTGTCACTCCTATGCACAGCAGTTACAGAGTCTCTCACGCGCAGTACTGCCATTGAACATTTCACTTTCGCCACAGAGTGTCTGGACATTCTACTCCGCAACCACACCCGTTGCATTGCGCAATGGAACATCGACAGCCTGCTGGCAGCTATCGCAGTATGCGCCTCGAGAGCCGGACCCCGCATCAACCCAGAGTATGCTGCAGCCATATACGTCCGGCTCTGTAAGCTGATGGGAGTGCTGCTGGGACTTCACCGTCAGAAACTCGGTGGGCGTTTCCACTTGATCCTTCCGGCCATGCAGCGACTTTTGAACTGCCTTTTCGCCCGCTCCAAGAAGAGAAGTCGGTCCATGCTTTCCGCAAAGGGGTACACACAGCAGCCGTACTGGCTTGCACCATTGCAGGCTTCACATGCCGTCCATTTCACCCGTCTGCTCACCTCGCTCTGCGATCCCACAGTCTCCGCCGTCTCACGACCCACACAATCTGGAGGCAGCCGTGAGGCACTCACTGACCAGACCAAGAAAGCCAAGCGTATTGCGGGTCAGTATTTGCAGTACTTGATCATGGAGTACGCGCAGAGCTCACTCCGCGGCTCCTTGGTGCCGGACGTAAAAGCAGCAATCCTTCCTGGTCTCTATGCCGTTCTGGACGTGATGTCGCGGGACACCATGCGCGCCATGAATGCAGGCTTGGACGTTTCTGGACGGGCCATCTTCAAGGGTCTCTATGATGACTACGTGAAGTTTGGCAAATGGAACAAGGGCTAAGGCGAGAGCGGATTATGCAGCCGGTTGAGGTTGAACTGGGATTTCTTCTTATGTATACAGATACCACTTTTCCACTACATGTTAGACCATGAAAATTCTACAAGACGTACCAGAAGCAGACCTACGGTAAACACAATCAGTAGCCGAAGCATTCAATAGATATATCCTGCACTGGGTCCTCGAGCTGAAATCACGTGATCTTCCTATTCCCGGGGATATTTTTCGGCAGGACTCGTTTTCTATCATCAGATCGTCAAGCATTAAAACAGCTGTCCATTCGGCTCCTCATGTCAGATAGATGGTAATGACCATCGCAATCTCGACTTTTGACAATGAATCTTTTACTCGATCCCATCGAGTCACAAACCCACAATGACCGTGAGATTAGATATGCCCAGCCGGGGCGGCCTCATGGCGGCCTCTGAGTCGCTGGAGCCGTGGAGCTCCCCAGTGCTCAGGCTGATTGCGGAGAGACCAAGTGGAGCAGCAACCACCATTTATGGTCTTGATTGCTGATAACGGCCGTCGCTTACACCACTGAATGGAGCAACGGAAAATGATAGCCCATCCCCCAGAGGCCTGACCACGGCCCTCATCGTCTCATGGAGGGCGATAAGGCACGATGGTTTGCCCATGGCTCAACTGGGCGGGATGATCCTGGCCATTCTGGGACCACGGATCATTCACAGTCCCTTATCATAAGTGCACTTGTACTCTTCCCCTGTTCCTATGGGGAGTTAGTGGTCGCATGTTACTGGCTAGTTGCAACTCAAGGTTACCTATCGGGACTATCATTGTGGATGGGTCACCAGTCACCACCAGGTTTATCGAGGTTGAGTTCATTGGGTCATGACGCAACATAATGTCTTATCTTATCCAAGGCATGGGGTGGTTATTGTGCCTGAGTTTATATTCATATGAATTTCTCTTGATGGCATGAAGTTGGTTTGTGTTACTGGAGCGCGTGAATTTTATAGTGTTTTGCGTCGTGTACCCCATCCTCTTTTTGTTTCTTGCTGAAAAGCTCTGCATCCTTCATTGCAGTGCTACAATCTGTGTGTGGACAGGCAGGATGGCCCGAGTCAGGCGATGGGCTGAAAAGCTGAAGATGCCATCGGAGCCCGGACTGAGCAATGCTCAGTTGATGTTAACAAATGAAGACTTGCGGCCAGGTGAGATTCGCATTGTGGACATCGGCTTATTCAATAACGCGACGGCGTTCTTGTCTTAAACCTGTTGGGAGTTTTTCGATCGAAATGAAGCTTACCGGTGTTCTGTCGTCTTGCAGTCGATCCTGACCGGCGTCAGTGGAAATGGTTCAATTTCATCGCTTTCTGGATTGCGGATTCGCTAAATATCGTAAGTCGCATGCGCAGGAATTGCAGGGCTCGAGGCAGGCTGATACTGATTCGGTATAGAACACTTGGATGATCTCCTCTTCGATGATAGTCGATGGCCTCTCATGGTGGCAGTCTTGGATCTGCGTTTGGGTCGGATACTTCATCGCAGCCGTCTTTATCTGCCTTACTGGTCGCATCGGTGCGAAATACCATGTTCCATTTCCTGTCGCTATAAGATCTAGTTTTGGAATTTGGGGCTCATTTTGGCCGGTTCTGAACCGTGCCGTTATGGCTGTCATCTGGTACGGAGTGCAGTCATACATTGGAGGTGAGTGTTTTGTCACCAGCAAGAATAGCGAATTCGGATAGTTTCTGATTGTTACAGGACAATGCGTTACTGTGATGATCGAGGCCATCTGGCCTAGCTATGCCCATCTTCACAACTCCCTTCCTGCCAGTGCTGGCGTCGAGACCAAAGACTTCGTCAGCTTTTTCCTCTTCTGGCTTCTATCGTTGCCTGCTCTGTGGTTCCCAATCCATAAGATCAGACATCTGTTTACCGCCAAGGCGATCTACTCTCCTATTGCCGCCATAGCTTTCTTCGCGTGGTCGATTGCTCGCGCAAACGGTATTGGACCGGTTGTACATCAGCCCGCTACAGTCCACGGAAGCACTCTTGCCTGGGCGATTGTGAAGGCGATCATGAGCTGCCTGGGAAACTTTGCTGCCCTCATCATGAACGATCCCGACTTCTCGAGATTTGCAAGGAAGCCAAAGGATGCATTGTGGTCGCAGCTGCTGACGATCCCTATTGGTTTCGGCATCACTTCGTTCATTGGCATTATCGCATCCTCAGCTTCCGCCGTCATCTACAACAGAGACCCTGTGTGGAATCCGCTTGACCTGCTAAGAATGTTCTTGGATGGAGCTAGCTCGGGCGAAAGATTCGGAATCTTCGTGATTGCCACTGGGTTTGCCCTTGCACAGCTGGGAACTAACATTTCAGCCAATTCCGTGTCCGCTGGTACGGACTTGACTGCTTTGGTTCCACGGTATCTGAACATCCGACGTGGTAGCTATATCTGTGCTGCAGTTGGTTTGGCTATGTGCCCGGTATGCCCCTCTTGCTTCGTCTGCATGGGAAGTGTTAGGACAAGACTGACATCTTGTAGTGGAACCTTGTGTCTTCGTCCAACCAGTTCACCACATATCTCTCGGCCTATTCCATCTTCCTGTCTGCCATTGCCGGTCCCATGATCTGTGACTACTACCTCAACCGCAAAGGCTACCTTCAGGTCAAAGATCTCTACAGCGCCAGTAGGGATGGGCCATATTACTTCGTCTTCGGCTTTTCCTGGCATGCGTATGCCTCGTATCTCTCCGGCATCCTTGTCAATATCGTCGGCTTTGCGGGTGCTGTTGGTCGTACCGTCCCTGTGGGAGCTCAGTACATTTACAACATCAATTACTTTTCGGGCTTCTTAGTCTCCGCCGTGATGTACTACATACTCACCCGCGTCTTTCCTTTGCCTGCATCGAGCGACCGATGGAACGAAGTGGATTCCGATGATGAGGTGGCCTATGGACAGGAAGTGGACTCGGATGACATGCACATGCCCGGGGAAGTGAGCTCGCTTGATAAGGACTCATATTCGGATCGGAAAGCAGCCAAGATTGCCTCGGGGGCGATGGTTTGATTTCTTCTTTCTTCGCGTTTGTAATCTAATAATGACTCTATTATGATCATGCCAACAACAATGATACCTCCTGAGTTTTTATGACCTATAAGAATTCGAAACGCTTATTCTACACGTCACGAAAGACAGTTCGGCCAGAGGAGTGGGAGTGAATGTTGCATTGCAACTCTTGAGTGAATATCAGGAATAGGATATGGAAGTGAAATGATTTACTCTAGAGTCGACGAGTCTTCATGACGTAGATTGGTTGTGGTATTCCAGGTCAACCATCAACCATCTTCTACAACTATCCCACAAAACATCTCAACGCAACATCACAGCCAAAAATAGGATGAAAGGAGAAAACAAACCATCGCGATACCGCCGCATCGGAGCTGGTGCCTGCGGGACAGTCTGGGCGCCCTCAGAGCGAGGCCCAGCCTACAAACGAGAAGATGGCGGCCTTGCTCGATCTCTCAGAAACGACTACGAGAAGCATCAGAGAATCCTTCACAGCCTAGATATCCTACCACATTCAGGGATCCAGCCTCGTATCCACGTTCCCCGCTGCTATACCTTTATTCAACCTACAGATGAATCCTGGTGGGCAGAGCATTTCCCCCGCTTCCCTGAGGGCTACTCACCATGTAATGTCATTCACTCTCAGCGCATCGCTCCCTTTCCCAAAGCAACGAGAGAGCGTCTTGTCACCGAATACTGCCCCTCTGATCTCGCAACTGAGATTCTAGCCAGCGAGATGAACGAGGACTGTCTGGTTCGGCCGTATCTCGGTCGAAGACGTACACAGGTGCATCAGCGCTCGCGCGCATCGAGGTTCAAGGCTTTTTCGCTCCGCAACTATCCGCTACATGTAGACCAGATGGAGGAACTCGGAATCCCGTCCCGGGATATGAGGGGATACGCAGAAGTCATGGCGGAGACGCTGGCGATTATGCACTGGGTCGTGCAGGTCGATGCGAACGATGTAGAGTTTGTCCTTGCTCCTCCTGATGGGGAGAAATGCGAATGGGAGAACGTGCTCGGGGAGCATGCGATGTGGATGCTTGATTTTGACCTGTGTAGGGATATGTCTATGGATAAGGCGGGGGTAGAGCAAGCTGTCGCTGCGTTCTGGAAAAATGATCCATTTTATCCCCGGCCAGAAGAATCATTTCTGTGGCAGGCGTTTCGAGAGACGTACTTGAGCACGAGCCAGCAGATTGTGGGGGATAGACCGGGTGATCGGCGGCTTGAGCTGGCGAAGCTTTTTGTTGACTCGCTTGAGGAGGGACCTCAGTGATTCGATATGGCATTGAGCGTCTATTTTACGACAACTCGGACTCCGATATTTGGTTACATTGAACCCCAGGATGACGGATAAGCGACAGGGACAAATTGATGCTATCAAATTATCCCAGTCGATGCACAGACCTGCCTGGTGGGGTTTCGCAGTGCTCTGATACATAACTAATCAACTGCAAACATCAACTTCTTAGTGACACGAAGTCTGACCCCGTCACCTCTTCGCATCCTGATGAAACCTCGGCAGTTATTTGTCTATTGAGAACACGTTCATTCTCAGAGACACCATGTCTTTAGCCATGATTCTGGTTGCACTCGCGCTGGCAGCGTTCATAGCCCGTGTCGTTTATCTCAGCTACTTTCATCCTCTCGCTCGCTATCCTGGGCCTTGGTTTGCCCACCTCTCAAATGCCTGGTTCGTCGCATATTACTCTTCAGTTGGCACAAAGATCAGGGGCTGACTCGAGCAGGAGACTCGTTACATTCTTCGGCGGCCAGCATCACTTGATAGAAGAGCGTCTACACGCTAAACACGGTCGTGTGGTCAGAGTTGCACCTAACTGGCTGTCTTTCTCCAGCCTGGAAGATTTTGAGGCTATCTATGGCTTCAACAAGGCCGTCGAGAAGGACGAGTTCTATGACTTTGGTCGCAATCGGGGCAGTCGACCCGAGAGCATCTTCGCCGCAAAGACAGATGCTAGTCACCGAATCAAGAGGAAGAAGGTGGTCAGTCCAGCTCTGACTAGTACCAGGATCGCTACATACAAGCCTGTCATCGATAAGCATGTCGGGATTCTGCTGGCACGGCTCCAGTCACGGCTGAAGGGTTCAATACAAGATGGGGAGAACAATGGCACTACTGTGTTGAACATGGCACCCGTTGTGCATCAGTTCACTCTAGACACCCTACTTGAGCTGCTTTTCGGCCCAAATCTGGCGGTACACCCGTATACTGATACCCCTGCTGGCGAAGGGGTATGTTCAAATCTCCGCATCATGACCAAAATGGCCTGGAGTTTCTCACTTTGGCCAGCTTTTGGATGGCTCATGAACACACGTCCAGTTGATGCAATGGTACGCCGACCGACTTACAGCAAGCAAGGCGTACTCACCGGTATGGCTGGCCTCATGGGCGTGGCCATGCCGAAGCTCCTGAGGAACCCACAACAAGTGGTTGCATCTCCCCAGCCTAGCATCGTCAAGAGCTGGCTAGAAGTCACTTTGGACGATGCCAACCATATGACTCCAGCCGAAGTTGCGTCGGAGGCAACCAACTTAATTATAGCAGGACCAGGAAGCACAGCAGCTGCTCTGACAGCAGTTATCTTCTACATGGGCACGAAAGAAGGCCAAACTTGGCAGGAAAGAATTCGAGACCAGGGTCGCGCTTCCCACAGCAATGATTTAGGGCCGTCCTCGCCGGAACTCCAGGCGGTGATCAAAGAAACGTTAAGACTAACCGCCCCATTTCCGACTGCCTTCCCCCGAGTGATTAGACCTGGCGCTGAGATGGCCATACCTAGCCTTGCCGCTCCGCTGCCTGTCGGAACAATGGTCTCTGCGAATACGTTTGTGCTGGGTCGATCGCGAGAACTCTGGGGCAATGACGCCGGCGAATGGGAACCACGGCGCTGGCTGGGGAGTGAGCAGCACCGTCGAGAGATGGAGACCAAATTTGTGGCGTTCAGCAAAGGCTCACGGAGCTGTATCGGACGTGAGTTGGCATTGCTTGTTCTCGCGCAGGCGGTGATTGGGATCATCCAACAATGGAGATTCCGCAGTAGGGGGGAGTTGCAAGGCAAAAGTTTCCTTGAGATGCAGTATGACGAGTGCTGGATTGAATTCGAGCCGCTTGACCTGTCGTTGAGCGCATGAAGCATAGCTCAGCTTGATATTTTGGTAGCTTGAAAAAACACTCTTTCATCCGTTGCTGCGTCTTATTCGTCAATATGCAGACAATGAGTCATAAATGCATTCAACCATGACTCAAAATGTACTCCGATTCATTGTCTGGCTGAGGGAGGCGAGCATTGATTGCAACCAGCTGCAAGACATGCTGGGCTAATCTGTTTTGTGACCCCGACGGAGGCCGATCTGCGTCCAGATCCACTGCACCACGGCCACCACCATCTACTCTGTCTCCACTGTTTATTTACCCTTTAAGATTTTACTTTCGTCACATCAGACATAAATACTGAATTCCATCATCTCCGTCTTTCATCTTCTGTCTCTCTGTCACTCTGTCACTCTATGTCTCTCTAGACTCTGGCATCCTCAAGACGACTGTGTTGTGTTCCGTCCGTCAAAGGTACACTCCTGGGTTCCACGACTCACTATTCTTCGTTGAATGTGAGGACGATACATGATATCCCTGAGACTGTATCGCAGAGGAAGTGAAACTCTAGCCATTTGATCACCTCAAAATGGCATCCACTAGTGCCCTTCCTCAAACCCTCAAATCCATCACCGCCACCAAAATCAAAGAACTCTCGAAACAGCGCAAGCGCTTCGAAGAACGCAAGGACAAGATCTTCAAAGACTCGCAAGACGCCCCCGATCTGCGTTCTAGAGTCCAGGTCCTCCTCGAGGGAGTCACCAAGCTCAACGGCGATCCCAACGACGCCTTCGATAAGGAGGATCTCGACGCGGCGGATACTGAGGAGCAGACAGCCAGAGTCGCAGATTGCTCCGACCGCGCCACATACACCAATATTCGCCGCTTCCTTCTACAGAGTCAGTATGACCCTTCTGTTTCTGAGAGTAGCTTGAGAGACTGGATCGCGCAGTTGGAGGAGGAGCTGCGGTCGCTCGAGCTGAAGCATGAGCATGCTGCGTTCTACAGTGAGCTGGTGACGGAGTGGCTGGAGAATTTGGAGGCCGAGCAGGGCGCCAGCAAAGAGTTTGAGTCGGTGGGACGCGCGGAGATGCAAGAGCAGCGTGCGACATGGGAGTCATTGGTTTTCTCTACGACGGATATAAATCCCGATGCGATCCGTGAGTACCTTGATGGTCTATTCAACACAAAGCCCTTGACACAGCAGGCGCTCAAGGAGCTCCGGGAGAGGATCAAGGCGTTTGGGACCGAATTCGCTGCGAAAAAGAAGTGGTTCAGCGTCGACGACCTCAAGTGGGTCTCCGAGTCGCTGTTGAAGGCTGACCTGCTCACCAAGGAGAAGATGGGCATCCTGAGGGAGTTCATGCGCAACAAGGCAGTAGCTCGGGAGGTGGCAGATGTATTGAATATGCGTCTAGCTTCGCTGGATAGCTGGAACTGGCCCGAGGAAGGCGTACCTGTGGAGATGCGGCGGCAGCTCAACGGCAAGTACCGAGTGTTCATGGACGAGGATTTGTTGGACAGTCTTCTCTTCCAATACCTTGGACTCAAATGGTCGGTGGCGTTGAAGAAAGCATTTGAAGCTTTTTTCAGAACTCGCGCTTGGCAAGCGCCGCGCCAGCAAATCTCCAAGGAAGAGCGGGAACGGCGTAGGTATTTCCTAGACTCGACGGTTCGCGGCGGCTGCGTGAATGACTACAGACGGCAGATGTACGAGACGGACTACTTTATGACCCAGCTGCCGTCGTCCGTGGAAGCCGGTGTTCCCCAGTACAGTGACGAAGCGAGCAGTGACGATTTCAACGACGGAGAGAAGCGCAAGAACGCCCTGGACACCAAGCACGCGCTGCTTCACCTTTTGATCACAGAGTCAATCATCCACACCACCCAGTACGGCCAATTTACGGCTATCCGTTCCGATTTCAAGTGGTTTGGCCCGTCGCTGTCACATGCGACCGTTCTGGCGGTGCTGAAGTACTTTGGTGTTCCTCAGAACTGGCTCCAATTTTTCAAAGTTTTCCTCGAAGCGCCGCTCAAATTCACGCAGGACGGAGAGAACGCCGCGGTGCAGGTCCGCAAGCGAGGCGCTCCCATAAGTCATACGCTATCGGACTGCTTTGGCGAGACGGTGCTCTTCTGCATGGACTACGCGGTGAACCAAAGCACGGAGGGCGGCTACTTGTACCGTCTGCATGACGACTTTTGGTTCTGGGGCCGCGAGCAGACCTGCGTCAAAGCTTGGGGCGCCATGACCAAGTTCGCCAATGTCATGGGTCTTGAGTTCAACGAGGAAAAGACAGGAACAGTCCGATTGAAAAAACCAAACCCCCGTCAGGGCAGCCCAGTCCCCGCAGGACCAGAACCTTCATCCTTGCTACCGACCGGTGACATCCGCTGGGGCTTTCTGAAGCTCGACCCGCAGGAGGGCCGCTTCATCATCGACCAGTCGCAGGTGGACAGCCACATTGCCGAACTCGGCCACCAGCTCGCCTCGTGCAAGAGCATCTTCGCCTGGGTACAGGCCTGGAACAGCTACTTTGCGCGTTTCTTCACCAACAACTTCGGCAAACCCGCCATGTGCTTTGGCCGGAGCCACATCGACATGGCGATCTCGACGCTCAGCCGCATCGAGCGGACCCTGTTCCCAGACGGCGTCACCGCACACCTGCGCCAGATGATCGCGGATAGGTTCGGCGTCCGCGATCTCCCGGACGGCTTCTTCTACTTCCCCATCGAGCTTGGTGGCCTGCAGCTGCTGAATCCGTACATTCCGCTTCTAGCTATGCGCGAGGACATCAAGCAGACGCCGCAGCGCCGACTCCAGAAAGCGTTCCTGGAGGACGAGGACGCCTGGCATGCGGCCAAGGAGCGGTTCGAGAAGGACGGGCCCCAAAGCTCGGCTCGAGTTGACTTCGATAACGATGGCAGCCCGGCCACGTTCATGTCGCTGGACGAGTTCATGCGATATCCCGAATCTCACAGTCGGGCTTTGCTGCAGGCGTATAAGGATCTGATCCGCATCCCTGAGGAGGTCAGCATCAACCAGACGGCCGCGTTTCAGAGTAGCCTGATGTCGCTGAGGAAGACGGGATCGGGCGACAGTCGGGGAATCACGGACTCGTGGGTGACTATGACACCGTACTGGCGCTGGACCGCCGAGGTGT